GCGCTGCGGGTGGGGGGGGACCAAGGGAGGGGGCGAAACGGTGCCGAGGCGTCTGAGGAGGTTCCGGAGGGTGGCGGGTGCGCAAGACAGTGTCACGGGGCGGCTGGTCCAGCCCTTTCGAGTCCCCTCCCCGTGCCCACCGTCTGTCCTCCCTCAGGCCAAGTTTGAGCTCATCACGTCGGAGGCTTCGTACATCCACAGCCTGTCGGTGGCTGTGGGCCACTTCTTAGGCTCGGCTGAGCTGAGCGAGTGTCTGGGGGCACAGGACAAGCAGTGGCTGTTCTCCAAACTGCCCGAGGTCAAGTGCACCAGTGAGAGGTGAGCGCTTGGTCTGTCTTGGAGGAGGCAGAGGGCTCCAAGTGGTCTCTCCGGAGCCCACCGCTCCCCCACCGCTCCCCGACTTGCTGACCCCTCCTTCAGGTTCCTGCAGGACCTGGAGCAGCGGCTGGAGGCAGATGTCCTGCGCTTCAGTGTGTGCGACGTCGTGCTGTACCACTGCCCGGCCTTCCGCAGAGTCTACCTGCCCTACGTCACCAACCAGGCGTACCAGGAGCGCACCTACCAGCGGCTGCTGTACGGCTGGGCTCTGAAAGGGACTGGGGTGCGGGGAGTCCCAGGCAGGAGTAGGTCAGGGTTTGGGGGGGGCGCGGGTAGGGAGAAGAGGGATCCTGGAAAGGTCTGTGTGACCAAGATAAGGTAGACCCAACCCAGGGGAGCGGAAAGGTGTGCTGAGAAGCGGGAAGGCACTTGGGAAGCCAGTGGGTGGCAGGGGTCCTGGGCTGAGGGTTCACAGGACATGTGCCCACCCATGAGGCGAGGCATGTCCCCACTTTTCCAGCCTGGAAAACCCGAAGTTTCCCAACATTCTGGCTCGCCTGGAGGAGTCTCCTGTGTGCCAGCGTTTGCCCCTCACCTCCTTCCTCATCCTGCCATTTCAGAGGATCACCCGCCTCAAGATGCTGGTGGAGGTAGCTAGTGGGCACCAGGCCATGCTGCGGCTGGGTCCTCTGTGGCCCCTGCGGGCCGTCATGGGTGGGCAGGGTCAGGTGGAGGTCACAGCTGGCCTCATGGCGCCAACCCCACCCTCCAGAATATCCTGAAGCGGACAGCACAGGGCTCTGAAGATGAAGACATGGCCACCAAGGCCTTCAATGCCCTCAAGGAGGTGAGCTTGGTGGGCAGGAGCCTCCCTGGGCCCTCACATGTCTCTACGAGAACCCAACTTTCTGAGAGCGGGGTTCTGAGGCTGGGCTCTGGGAGCCTGGCCGCAGGTGACCTGCCCATGGCCTCCGCAGCTGGTGCAAGAGTGCAATGCCAGTGTGCAGTCTATGAAGAGGACAGAGGAGCTCATCCACCTGAGCAAGAAGATCCACTTTGAGGGCAAGGTGCATGTCGGGGGACCGGGCACAGAAGGGCGGCTCGGACTGCTCACACCCTTCACCCCCTGTCCCGTGCTCTCGCCTGCTGCCCCTGGGCCCGACCTGTCCCCCTCTTTCTTCCTCCAGATCTTCCCGCTGATTTCCCAGGCCCGCTGGCTGGTTCGGCATGGGGAGCTGGCGGAACTGGCGCCTCTGCCCGCGGCTCCCCCTGCCAAGCTGAAGCTGTCCAGCAAGGCTGTCTATCTGCACCTCTTCAATGACTGCTTGCTGCTCTCACGGCGGAAGGAGTGAGTGGGGAGGGTGTGTGCTGGGGGTGGGGGCTCCCTTCATGCCCACCAAAGGGCTCAGTCAGGCCTCTTTGGGCCCAGGAGCTCTACAGTCCATGGCAAGGCTGCACCCCCAGCGCGCCCTGAGCCTTAGGAGGCTCCACAGGAAAGCACAGATGGAGCAAGGCCATCTTCTGGACTTGAGAATCAAGGGCTGGACTGTGTGCGGACTTGAGGCTGCTCTGAACTTAAGCCAATTAGAGCAGAGATTAAGAGCATGACCCGGGAGCCCTAGCTGTGCCCAAGGCATAATGGTAACTGTCAACACCTATGTTCCATGCATGGGTGACTCCCTTGAATCCTCTCAGCACCCCCGTGGGAAGTAAGACCCTGTGTTATTCTCAAGGTCATGGGGCACAGAGGAGGTCAGGTCTGTCTGCTGCCAGGTCCCACGCTCTTAATCATACCACGATCCTGCCTCCCGCCTCTGAAATAGACACTACCGTGTCGGGAGATTCAGATGGAGGATAGTACATGAAAAGAGGTTAGCACAGTGCCTGGCACATGGTGAACCTTCAGTATTAACTGTGCTTATTAGAAGTTTGGGATGAAGAAGACTTGTTGCACGCGGTAAGCCTTAGGCTGGATGGGATGACGGACTGTCATCTCGTGCTATGGGAAGAGTTCATTCCTGGTTGACTGACTCATTTTATAAGGTGTCATTGGACCCCTGTTCTATGCCAGGCCGTCTGATGAATGGGGGACACAGAGATGGAGAGACTGGTTCTCTGTTCATACCAGTGAAAATACACCCTAACAACCACCTCTTCAGGGCTTTGCAGAGGGCTATACTGACGTGATATCATTCTCTGTTGCTGCATGCTTCACAATAAACTGCACAGAGGAAGGGGCATTTGAGCTGGGTTTTGAAGGACACATAGGAGTTTTCCAGGTAGAGGAGGAGTTTTGAGGGGGCATAGCAAAGGCACAGTAGGCCTGCTGCCTGGTTTGGCAGTGTGTTTGAGGAATGTCAATTTCTAATGTGGCTGAGGAAGGTCAGGAGAAGGAAGTTGGAGTGTTGAAAGTGATGATAGAGCGAGCAAGCATGGGAAAGTAAGCAGAGGAGAAACATTTAACTCCTGGCCAATTAGGAGGGCGGACTGGCAGAGGAGGGACCAGAAGTGCTGGCAACTATGTGGGTGCAAGCCGGTGAGCCAGAGTGGCAGGGGCTTGCGGATAAGTGGATCCCGGGACATCAACAAGGTCGACAGATAAGACATATCTGCTGGTGGGCGTGGGGTGAGTGAGAGGAAAGGGATGAGAATGACGAGAATGACTGGGTTTCCTCTTGGGCAACCTGGTGGGATGTTTCATAGAATAGGGCCAGTGAAGGGATCTGTTTGCAGTGGGCGACACGGGGTTCTCTTTAGAGAGGCCTCTACCACCCGCCCACCCTTCCCATGAGTACTGACTGAACCCGCACTGTGAGCCAGGCAGGGGCAGCCACCGGCTTATAGCAGCCAGCGAGAAGCAGAGCTCGGCCTTCCTGGATGCCGGCAGGGTCAGAAGCCAAAAGACCCACAGGTTTCGTCAGGGGGCCGCCTGGATTCAGGGACCGGTCTCCACGGCCCACCCCTTCCCGCCAGGGAGCTGGGGAATGGCTGGCGTGCCTGACTCCTTCCGAGTCAGGTGGGCTGCCGGGAGCTCCCTTGGGGAGGGTCAAGAGCCCAGAGGACCCTTAGCCTCCCTTCTAATTGGAATCACCTGGGGGTGGGGGGCTGGGTGCTGGCAGGGGCTGACCGCCCTCCTCTGGCCTGCAGGCTGGGGAAGTTTGCTGTCTTTGTCTACGCCAAGATGGCCGAGCTGCAGGTAAAAGACCTGAGCCTGAAGCTGCAGGGCATCCCTGGCCACGTGTTCCTCCTTCAGCTCCTCCACGGGCAACATGCAAAGCACCAGTTCCTGCTGAGGGCCCGGACGGAGTGAGTAGCCTGGGGATGGGGTGAGGAGCTCCCCAACCCCCAGGCAGGCACGAAGCTGCGGAAAGGCGGCACAGGGGCAGAGCTGGCAGCCAGGAGGCTCAGGGTCTGCTCGCAGCTGGGCGGGGCACCGAATGGGAGACACGACTGGGCTTCTGGGTCTGGGCATCACCCCAGCGCCCAGGTCCCGGGGGAATGCACTCAGCTTGTGGTGACAACTCTCTCCGCCTCCCTAGAAGTGAGAAGCAGCGATGGATCTCAGCCATGTGCCCCTCCAGCCCCCAGGAGGACAAGGAGGTCATCAGCGAGGGGGAAGGTAGCAGGCTGCCCCCAGCCCCGCCCAGCCCACGTCCCTTGGGCTTGAGCCCTCTGTCTCGTCTCCTTCCCTCCGGTCCTGAGCGCATCAGCGAGAGCCAGGGGGCGGGGGCAGGATTCATCTGGGGCTGTTTCAGGGGAAGAGTGGTGGGATGGGCAGAGGGGGCAGCAGTGACCACTCCTCCCCCAGATCTGGGGGAGAATTCGAGGCTCTGAGTGTGGGAGCCGGCCACAGGCAGCACCCTCACATGACAAAGCCTTTTGGAGCCTCCTGTTTCACGCCACAGCCCATTTGCCAGTTAGAACACAGAGACGCGCAGGTGGAGAGCTTTATCTAGGGTTACCCACCAGAAAGTGGCTGAGTGGGGCTGTAGTAATTGCAAAGAGGACAGGAACCAGGTGGCCGGGGGCCATGGGGTGGCAGGGTGAGTGGGCGGCCTTGTTGACAGGCTGGTTGCCAGGGCACAGCCCAGCCATGGCAGACCTTGATCTAGTGGGCACTGGGTAGCTTGAGCAGGGGAGTGAGCGCTGAGCTGAGGAAGTGGAAGGAAGCAGAGTCCTTCCCACCCGGACCTGCCATGTGCTGGGCCTGTGCGAGGGGTCTTGTAGGTGCATTTATTTTATTTAACCCTCTTGACAGCTGCACGTGGCAGATTCATGTGTCATAGCCGAGAAAACGGAGGATCAGAAACATGAAGTAGCTTGGCCAAGGTCACACAACCAGTAGGGAGCAGAACGAGGATTCAAGCCAGGTCTGGTCTCAAAGACCATGTTTTCCTGACACCGCCAGCCCACCTGTACTATTTTTCTTTTATTTTTTTAAAGATTTATTTATTTATGCATGCAAGAACTGAGGTACAAGAGAGGATTCACCAGAGACAGTAGGAAGCAGAACAGGCAGATTGACAAAGACACGCTGAGGGGAGCAGCGGGCGAGACAGGAGAGGTGTCATAGCCGAGAAAACGGAGGATCATGCTGCACCATGTGGGTCAGCTCCGTGGCTGGGGATCGAACTCGTGCTGAGATGGCTGCGGCTATCTTCATAGTGCTGCACTTAACCCGTTGCGCCACCAGGGAGGGCCCCCACCATGTACTGATAGAAAATGCAGTGGACCCGGACTGGAGGACATCCTCTAACTTGAACCAGGAGTCCTGTTTGGGCTGGGGGCGTGAGTTTCACACTCCAAAGAGGTTCCTGAAGGATGAGGAAAGGTAGCCATGGAAAGAACTGGGGAAGAGCTCTCTTGGAAGAAGGAACAGCCGTGCAAAGGCCCTGGGGCAGGAGGGAGCTTGAGTTTTTGAGCAATGGTGAGGCGACCAGTGAGGCTGAACTTCATAAGCAAGGAGGAGAGGGGGGGAGGAGGTAAGCTGGGGACAGTGCTGCCTTATCTAGGGCTCTGTGGGCTCCGGGGGCTTTAGATTTTATTCAGGACCGGTGGGGAGCCCTCAAGGCTTTTGGGGTGGGGGAGTTTATACGACCTGACTCCCCATTGAGGATGGACTGGAGGTGGCCGTAGTCTAGCGTCAGAGAGCATATGGAGGGGGCATTACTTTTCTGTGGAGCTTGGGGGCAGCTGGACATTGGCCTGGAGGTGGCCAGGGACAGAGTGTTGAATTGAGCTAGGGAGGCGAGAGCCCTGGGCACAGAAGCAGGAAGCAGAGCCAGGGAGGGGTTCACATCGGTGTTTGAGGTAAGAGAGGAGGGACAGGGGGCGGGCAGAGTAGCAGTGGCCACGCTTCCACCCCTTACTTCTCGCACTGCCCCCCATGCCACCCCTGTCCCGTCCTGCCCTGGGGACCCGCTTACCCTCGGGGCTGTCAGATCGCCCCCAGGTTCAGTGTGTCCGGACATACAAGGCCCTGCAGCCAGATGAGCTGACTCTGGAGAAGACAGACATCCTGGCCGTGAGGACCCAGACCAGTGACGGTGAGAGGAGCCTCTGGGGCAGCCTCCCGGACAGACCGGGCTTGAGTGGGCAGGAGGGAGCCGGTTCCTGAGACATAACAGGGAAGGGTGTGCAAGGGCTGATGCGTACAGCATGCAGGAGTCAGGTTAGCCCAGAGGAGGAACTTCTCTGCAGTAAAGCTGTGGGCGCAAGAATGGATGGTGGGGGACACTGGAAATACCCTAGTCAGAAGATGTCAGCAAAAGCAGGTCAGAAGTTCACCTGCAAGACTGCTCCAGGCAGCGTCCTTCCGGAGCCGGGAGATTCTGAGATGATGTCACCTCCACCCACGGGCTTGCAGCAAGCCCTGGTGTCCCTCCCAGCCCTGGCCCTGGGGTCCCTTTGATGCCACTCACACCGCCTCTGGCCTGTGTCCTAGGCTGGCTGGAGGGGGTCCGTCTGGCAGATGGTGAGAAGGGGTGGGTGCCCCAGGCCTACGTGGAAGAGATCAGCAGCCTCAGCGCCCGCCTCCGGAACCTCCGGGAGAACAAGCGGCTCACAAGTGCCACCAGCAAACTGGGAGAGCCCCCCGCTTGACGGGCACGAGGGTCTGGGACCGCAGCTCCATGCCCGACTCCTGGACAGGTCTGGAGGAGGCCTGCAGCATCTCTGGGCTGCAGCCGCGGCAGCTGAGACTTGTGTTCTGTGGCCCTGCCATCGAGAGTCCACGGAGATGTGCTCGAAAAGGTCTCCCCTGTCCTCACATCTCGTGTCCACTCTTAGGACTGAAGGTAGTGTCTTCTCTGGCGTGGGGTCACAGCAGGTGGCCTCTGTTTCTGCCAAGGACAGGCGTCCTCTCCCTTTCACGTGGACTCCTAGTCCTCCGAGCAGGGGTCCGGCCGGGGAGGCCCTGCTGTGGGTGGGTGTCGGCACCTAACCTACGGGGTCTTCTGGCCAGAGCGTGCGTGGGTCCTGGCTGCTGTGACTCATCTGTAAATAAACTCTGGTGACGCCTTGCTTGGAGGGTGTGGCCACCTGGAGCCGCTCCATGCCCACCCCACCCGTTTCCCCTGCTGGGGATCAGGAGGGTCTCTGGGTTTGCTCTCTGTGGCCTTTACCTCACAAACAGCAGAGGGTGACAGAGGCTGTGTATGGGCTAGGTTGGTTCTGGCTACAACGTACAAAATATCAGATTCAAATAGGCTTATATTAAAGAGAATTTATTAGTCCTGTGCTTGTTTCCTATAGCTTCTGTAACAAATTTCCACAGGGACTTAAAACAACAGCAATTTATTCTCTCTCAGTTCTAGAAGCCAGAAGTTGGAAATCAGTACCACTGGGCCTAGACCCAAGTGTTGCAGGGCTGAGCTCGGTGCAGGAGTGGAGAGTCTCCGGGGGGGCTACTCTGGCCCCTCCCAGCTCTGGCAGCCCCCAATACTCCTTGGCTAGCGGCTGCCTCTCTCCAGTCTCTGCCTCTGCAGTCCACCTTCTCCATGTGTCTGTAGCAAATCTCTGCCGCCCTCTCTCAGAACTACCTGAGGCTACATTTGTAATCTCCCCATCATATAATCCTTAAATTACATCATTTATTATATAGCATATCACTTACTATATGTGATTTATTTTTAAAGATTCATTTTATTTACTTATGCATACAAGAGCTGGCGTGTAGGCCAGAGAGGTGGGGGAGTGAGGGGATTCACCAGAGACAGAGTTGGGAGCAGAACAGGTGGATCCCTTGAAATACACTGCTGAGGGGAGCAGCGGGTAAGACAGGAGAGGTCTGCTGCGCCCTGTGGGTCACCTCCCTCGCTGGGGATCGAACTGAGGCTGTAGTGGCTGCCGATAGCTTCATAGTGCTGGGTCTTAATCCCTGTGCCACCAGGGAGGCCTATATATGATTTATTATATCATATCAATATATCATCCACAGCTCCCCTTTTGTCACATACAGTAGTAATCACAGGTCCTAGCTATTTGGGGACCATCTGCAAAGAGTGTACAGATTCCGTCTCTCCCTCTCCCCTGTCTGCACAGTTGAACATTTGCAAACCTAAGAAACCAACATCAGGACCTGACAATTTGCTCGACACGTCCCTTGCCACCTCTGCTCGGCCAATTTCTCAGTCATCCCTTAATTTCCGTGACCTTGAGAACGCGGGATTCCGGTGGATGTTTGTTACGCTGTCCCTCCATTTGGGCTGATCTAATGTTTTCCTCAGAAATATCAGCTGGGTCTGGGGGGGTGAAAACCAGAGGGGATGTGACCTGCTTGTCCCCTGGCTCAGTCTCCACGTGACTTGTTAGACTTGATCTGGGGGAAGCTGTCATCTGCCAGCCTCTCCATTGTGAAGTCACGTTTTCCTTCCTATGTTGGAAA